AAGAAAAGTCTCCTCCATCGACTTACCAATTTTAAGCATTCCTTTCCCAGTTAGCAAAAGATTGGACACTTTCAAATCTCGATGCACAATGAACCGGTCATGCAGATACTTAACTCCATGAAAAAGTTGCAACATTAGACATTTGATTTCTGCTTCTTTGAACGGCAAGGACATGTTATCCAACAAGCTAGCTAAATCCTGCTCACAGTACTCCATAACAAGGAATATACTATCCAGGTGTCTTCCCACAACTACTTCTTTAAGCTGTACAATGTTCTTGTGGCCCAGATTCAGCAACAGACTTATCTCACGCAAACCACTGAGTGGTATTCCATCCTTTTCCCTCTCCATGCGCACTTTTTTCAGTGCAACTATTTCATGAGAGACAGTATCTCGAGCTCTGTACACCACACCATATGTTCCTTCTCCAATTCGATTGAGCTTTTCAAACTCAGTGACTGGTCTACACCGCCCATAGCAGTGCTCATCTGGCATCACCTTCTTTTCAAAAGTTTCAATAGATGTTAAGATACCTTGGGGTTCACTTTGATCTTTTTGCATATTTCTGTAAAAGACAAGAAGTTCAAAATACATTGACTTCTGAATTTCAAAAACACATATGATATGTAGCCTGGGCCACAGTTAAAGCTACACCTCTGGTTTTCTCCAAGAACACTTACATTAAAAACAGCAGAAAGAATTACAAGGCTTAAAAAATTCCATGTAGATACATTAAATTTAACATTCAAGATCCATATTACATCAAATAACTCAATATACTTGGGTTAATATTTGCTGGGTATGTCCCGCTGGCCTCTCAGAGCCCCTACCCCATTATAGTTTATTTTTTGGCCAATCATAGACCCCATTTTAGTCACTTTTTGGAAAATGTAATTTTCACGACCCCAACTTAGTCACTTTATATTTATGCATCTACCAAATCAATGTGGTTTCAAGAATGGAATGAAATGCGGTCAATGCAAGCTTACTGTTAAATTTAATAAACAACAACTTTTTGATTTTTTTAACCGAGAATCTTCCAATTTTGAATCCCAATACTTAGCCCAAAAATCCGAAAACTTGCGACCCCATTCTAGTAACTCTATTGAAAATGTAACCCCATTATAGTCACCCCAGTCATAAAAATGCGACCCCATCCAGCGGCACATCTCCATTAGCCTCTTGTAAGGGAGTACCCCCAAAGCTCCCCCCACCGGGACCTTTTGCTTTTTACATGATTTCCATGTGCATACACAGTGCACCTGCATACAAACACAGCTGCGCTAAGGTTGGCTCATGTATAATTTTGTGCTTCGAAGTTTTATGTCCAGGAACTTGTGATTGTAACGACGAAAGAAGTAAGCTGAAAAGACCGTAAATATCAGAACAAGGTACAGGTTCTAGCGCAAGCTTCCTACACTTACTCAAAATTCCATTGTGCCGTTCAGACAAAGAAAGCCAGGATAGCTGCAAATGCCTACATTTATAACTTTGCTCTACATGGCAAAGATTTGAGCGTAACTGAAAGCCACTAGATTAAGCCAGATTCCTCTAAAAAGAATAGTGGCCTTCAGAAATATGAGGCTGGAAATATATATATATCTGAAAGACGAATTGTTTCAGAAGCAAAAAGCTGGATTTTCACATCAACAATTGCTCTAAAAGCATATATGCCTCCTGCAAAATACGGGCTTCGTGCTTAGCAAAAAATAATAATATTTCCTTGATTATTTACCTTGGCGTTTACCTTGAATACCAAAAGACTATACGCAGGCCGCCATCTTTATTTTCCCTTCTTCTAGGGCCCAGACTACCGCAGACGTCTGACCACAGAGCATCCGGTTTTTTCACAGGGTCCAGAGGAGATGTGTTTGTCGTTAGAACATCAAAACCCGTCGAAAACCTCTGAAAAAATGGGTTATTTTGATCGCGTTACGGTTTCGTTACACATGTGGGTAGGTACTTCATATATGATTATTATTATGTACCTAAACATACCTATTATGTCTTATTAAATCTTATTATTATACTATAAACACCTACAGATATCATCATACACCCCTATACATCCCTATACATCACCATACACCCCTATACATCACCATACACCCCTATACATCACCATACACCCCTATACATCACCATACACCCCTATACATCACCATACACCCCTATACATCACCATACACCCCTATACATCACCATACACCCCTATACATCACCATACACCCCTATACATCACCATACACCCCTATACATCACCATACACCCCTATACATCACCATACACCCCTATACATCACCATACACCCCTATACATCACCATACACCCCTATACATCACCATACACCCCTATACATCACCATACACCCCTATACATCACCATACACCCCTATACATCACCATACACCCCTATACATCACCATACACCCCTATACATCACCATACACCCCTATACATCACCATACACCCCTATACATCACCATACACCCCTATACATCACCATACACCCCTATACATCACCATACACCCCTATACATCACCATACACCCCTATACATCACCATACACCCCTATACATCACCATACACCCCTATACATCACCATACACCCCTATACATCACCATACACCCCTATACATCACCATACACCCCTATACATCACCATACACCCCTATACATCACCATACACCCCTATACATCACCATACACCCCTATACATCACCATACACCCCTATACATCACCATACACCCCTATACATCACCATACACCCCTATACATCACCATACACCCCTATACATCACCATACACCCCTATACATCACCATACACCCCTATACATCACCATACACCCCTATACATCACCATACACCCCTATACATCACCATACACCCCTATACATCACCATACACCCCTATACATCACCATACACCCCTATACATCACCATACACCCCTATACATCACCATACACCCCTATACATCACCTTACACCCCTATACATCACCATACACCCCTATACATCACCTTACACCCCTATACATCGCCATATACCCCTATACATCACCATACACCCCTATGCATCACCTTACACCCCTTTACATCACCTTACACCCCTATACATCACCTTACATCCCTATACATCACCATACACCCCTATGCATCACCTTACACCCCTTTACATCACCTTACACCTCTATACATCACCATACACTTCTATACATCACCGTACACCGCTATACATCACCATACACTTATGTACATCACCGTACACCCCTACACAAAACTATACATCCCTATACATCACCATACATCCCCATACATAACCATACAACCCTATACATCACCATACACCCCTATACATCACTATACACGCGTATACATCACCATACACCCCTATACATCACCATACATCTCTTTACATCACCATACATCCCCATACATAACCATACAACCCCATACATCACCATACACCCCTATACATCACCATACACCCCTATACATCACCATACACACCTATACATCACCATACACCCCTATACATCACCGTACACTCCTATACATCACCACACACCCCTATACATCACAATACACCGCTATACATCACCGTACACCCCCATACATAACCATACGCCCCTATACATCAGCATACACCCCTATACATCACCATACACCACTATACATCATTATACACTACTATACATCACCATACACTTATGTACATCACCGTACACCCCTACACAAAACTATAAATCCCTATACATTACCATACATCCCCATACATAACCATACAACCCTATACATCACCATACACCCCTATACATCACTATACACCCGTATACATCACCATACACTTCTATACATCACCATACATCTCTTTACATCACCATACATCCCCATACATAACCATACAACCCTATACATTACCATACACCCCTATACATCACCATACACCCCTATACATCCCCATACATCCCTATGCATCACCATACACCCGTATAGATCACCATATACCTCTATACATCACCATACACCCCTATACATCATCATACACCCCTTTACATCACCATACACTTATGTACATCACCGTACACCCTACACAAAACCATACATCCCTATACATCACCATACACTCCTTGTGCATCACCATACACCAAATGCTTTATTTTTTCAAGTAGGGTCATGTACATTGATTTGCGCAATTGCACTCACTGCCGGAGGATTCAAGAACAAGTCACATAGCACTGCGAGTAATTATGGAAAGCAAAGATTTGATCTACTTCATTACTGGAAAGGTTCCTGGTTCCAACAAGGGTCAATTTTCGTTCAGATTTTAATGAACTAAGAAAAATTATTTGCGATTCTTCAGCCTCCGTGCTCCTATTATTTTTAGGTTTAGCGTTGATCATAAAGCCAGACACCTCACCATCATCCTCTACAAGACCCTCGCATCTAAGAATAAAATTCGTTAGGGATGTAAAAGTGTCTCCTCGCTCGAGGCAATACTCTCCATACTTGATAACAACTTTGGATTTATCCAGTTCCGAGGTTTTTCTTTTCTCTGATGATTGTTTCTTTTCCGACTTTCTGATCTGTACTCGCCGCCCAGCACTCCTCAAATAAATGATGGTAAAAATTTCAT